TATATATATATATTCAAGGACGTTTGCGTTTGCTGCATAAAGTTGTCCTCCATTTGTCGGGACAGACCTTTGAAACCGACCAAGTTTAGAAGTGGGGTGTAATGATTAAGAAACCTCGGAGCTTGTTCAGACTTGGACTCGCCCCAGAATAATATTTACTAGTTTTTTCTTTATTTATTCATCTATGCTAGCTTGCCCTTTATATTACCTCTTCTTTCCCGTTCAGGCTCAGATCCTTTGGTACTAAAATTTCGTAAGCTGTGAGTGGATGTTGGATATATGGCAATTACACTTTCTGTCTTCTCTGTCCACACCAAGGGAATGAGGTAAATAATTTTGGGTTTAAAAAATGAAAAGTGGTCAGTTTTTGTGAAAATAAACATTATTAAATTGAGTAATTTGATCGTTTTCGATCTTGAAATAATATAATATAAATATATTATAACATACATAAATAATGTTATTAAAAAAACTAGTTAATTCGGTGATTAACCAAATTACTAAATTTAATTTGATCTATGGATTAAATTTTTATTTTCAATTTCAAAAAAAATTAACTGAATTAACTGTTTGCATGTTATTGCTTTTGAGGTAATAGAAAGCAATTCCATCCCTCTTTTAGAAGTAATAGGTTGTTATTGACAATGGGGTACTGCATTGGTACAACATTGTTTTAGAAAAAAAAAAAGGGGTATCATTCTGTTCAATATATATTGTACTTGGGAAGACATTGCTGAAAGAATGAAAGAAAAAGGTGGTGGGAGGGAGTAAGTTTGCTAGACTTGCAAACGCAGACTTGTTCTCCCTTTGTAGCTTTAAAAGGCTTGGGGGAGAGGAAGGTTTACCCGATTTGATGTTGCATGGCATATATAGCAAAAACACGAGAAGAGAACAAGTCCCAAACGGTTAGCGCATATTTGGTTGGTAGAACTGGAAGTGGCTGATTGCACATGAAAAACAGCCCTTTGGAAATGGAAACAATTGTTGGTTCCCGTTCATGGTTCCTCTAGGCTGCCCCGCCACCCGCCTCCCGCCTCTGGCCCTATTCCTGTTTCATGGACCCACCTCTGGACCACTTGATGGTCTCGTCCTTCGAGCTCCATGGTTTGATGGAAGCATCCGACAGTTAATAACTTATTGCACCAGTAACCGTCCAGCGGGTCCTGGCCCTTAATCGGGCAATCACCCAATGTTGAAGAATAAGAATCAGAATCTGATTGACAACGTTTCTATGCTTCCCGCCCCTAGAAACTCAAATATGGAGTGCAGACGGGTCTCGATCAAATCAGACTCCCATCAGCGTGACAAAAGTATCCCCCCGAAACATAGAAATGAACCATCTTTGGTTCTCTTTTCCCTCCGATCTACCCTTGGTTTAAACAAACCCATAGCTTCCATTCCCTTAATCAAAATATTTTCATGCATGCATTGTTGCTTACTGCTATACCTCTGATCCTTGGACAGTAGGTTCCAAACATGCTTTCTTAATCAATGATTACGTGAACAATAATGAAATTACCAGATGAACTAATCCGGCCTATCACCTCGCTCATTAAATGCACAAGACTTGATGAGAATCACGATCGTACTACTCTTTCTATACCACTCCATACAGTTTGGGGTTGGGTGCCTAGAGCTAGACTGTTCACCCACAGTGCAGACAAAGTTGTTGAGCTTTGTTGCTTGAAGGGAGGGTGATATAGTGGCTCCAGCAGGGGATGGTGGAGTGGACCCTGCAGCTTTGGTTTTACTTCGTGGTTGCAGCCTGATCCAACCAGCCAGCCCGTACACTTTTGAAAGACGGTGAGAGAGGTTGGGACAGTTCAACGCAGAGTTGACAGCTGTCCTCTTTAAAGCCTAGTCTCGTGAGAGTTCAGAGGCTCCAATGTTTCCTCTCTTGACCAATTTGCTTCCCTCCGGATCCATATGGACGTTGATATCTGTGGATTGTGTTGTACTGCTTCTTTTTGTTTTTCTCCCCTTGTTATTGTTATTGCCATTCATTCATACTCTCCCCCAACGAATTCCCAATGTTATTAAATTTGAAATATGGATTTCAGCTTATAAAAAACTCATGCAGGTCGACACGTAGAGTCGCTCATCCTTATTTCCTTTCTCCACTAGGATACCTTTGTGGACTACTTCAAAGTATTGTGTTTGTTGAATTCCGCTGGTGAATACTGTGAGGAAAGTCCCATCAGAAACCAGAGTGTGGGTAAATACTCATTAAAAGTTACGTTCCAAAGTTTAAAGATGGACCCACAATGAGGACTGAGAGCAAGTCATTTCCTTTTCCTTTAAGCTTCTGTGCTGCGCAGATGAAGATGGGGACTAATTCCCCCCCTTTTTTTTTCCCCTTTTTTCTTAAATGAAAGTTTGAAAAATGAGGAGAGAAAAGGAAACGAAAAAGGCATAACTATAAGCTTTCACTAGTTCAACTTCTGAACTGGGCATAACTCAATTATGAAACATTTCCCATAAATAATGACTACAAATATATGAATATCTTAATGGAGTTTGGTGGGTGAAACTGAACTGGGAAATGATTGAAGGGCCTGAGGCTTCTAGCAGAGAAAAAGAGAGAGAAGATGGTTTCTCCAAGAAAAAGTAAGGTAAGAGCGAGTCTGAAAGAGAGGACCCCGATTGCAGCAGTTTATCCCATGAACAAAACAGGTGTCCAAATCTCAGAGAGTTGGAGAATCTCTCAGACAAAAAAATTAATGAAAACTGATGACTGATCATCATCTTAACGTATTCTTTTATGGCGGCATACTTCCCCCTTCCTTCCTCAGAAGATCGTACTACTCTTTTTCTCTCCTGCTTTTCCTGTTTTTTCTTCGCCTCAAGCTACGCTTATATATATATATATATATATATTGGCCATGGAGGAAAATGAACATTCAGTGAAATCAAAGTTGTGCAGTTTTCTTTCCTTGCTCTTAATTAATTTTTGTAGCTTCAAGTTCAATGTCTATGAATGTGATGGACTTTGGGTTTATACTGTTAACATCTCAAACTTTATACGTTGGCTCGGTGAAGTCCAAGGCCACAGCATCTTGTTCTTGTTCATCTCTCTAATGTTTTATATGTTCATCCTTTTATGTACAGCTTCATAAAAATACGCAAATTTCTTAACTGATGGATTACAAAATTGTTAACATATTAATTTTAATCTTTACTGTCACATTCTTCTTCTTTTTTATTATATGTATTTTATTTTTTATAATTTTAATATTTAAAAATTATAAAATTATTATATAATTTTTAAATATAAATAATTATATTACATTATTGACTATTATTTAGAATTTCATCAATATGATAGATTAATTATTCTTATTTTGATTCTTTTAGTTTCTATAATTATAAAGTGAATCTTTTCAGTAATAAAAATTATAAAAGTAAGATTTTAAAATAAAATAAATAATAAGTTTTTTTAAAAAAATATTTAATAGTTTATATTGAAAAAAAGATATTATTCAAAATTAATAATTGATGATTAAAATTTCAGAAATATTCTTGAACATAATTTTGTTAAAAAGATTATTATAAATTTTTTATTCTTATTTATTTATTTATTATAAATCTTTTTATTATTATTGAATTCAACATATTAATTTTAAAAAATTTTAATCCTTCATTTCTTTTGGCATCACAGTGACTCTCTGTTCCTGAAAGCTAGCTGTTGGCCTCAAATCTTTTCTAAGACCAAAAATCACACACTCTTTTCGTGCATGGGCGCATGGTTCTAAGATTGTTGTTTCAATAAGAACATAGTACATGGTTATTTACAAGGGCCTTGCTGCTGCTTTTCTTGGGATATTTTGATGATAAAAGGTGAAAACTATGGTGTAAAATTGTTAACATGCAGAAAAGAATGTATGTAATTAAAGCATAGGTGAATATAGTTTAGAGTTTCTTTTTAATGCTAGAACCTTTTTAGTTCATGAGTTTAATTGAATTGAACGTTTGCATAGCTCTTCCAAACTTCCTCAAAGAGGAAAAAGAGAGAGAGAATATGGGAGGTGCAACCATTAAAGGAAGGTGGTCAGTGTAAAATAAAACGGCTGTATTTCACATTGAATGCCTTTGTCCTTGATTTGCAGAGCATTTAAAAAGAGGGATTGCTCTCCGGGGTGAAACTAAAGATACCTGCATCGTTGGCTACAATCCGAGAGAAGCAACTGTGACAAGCAAAAGGTCTTTCTTTTTTTTTTTGTTGAGGATAATGAGAACTGCGGTACTGCTAATCTATGTATTCTTATTCCAATATTCCCTTACTGGGTGGGAGTGGGAGATCAGGTACGTTAAGGTAAAAAAGGGAAAAGAACAAGGATGATTGGTGAGGCTGAGGGCAGGTGGAAGAAGAAAGAAGGTGAAAAGAAGGGTATGAGATGATGGAGGAAAAGAGAGAGGATCACTTGGCTTTTTCCTTGCCAGAGACAAGCACCTTGCAGGCTCTATATCATGCACATTATACAGCAATCTTTATGCTTTAATGGTTAGCACACTAAGGTCTGTGATTTGATTTATTCTATTGCAGATTTCCTCACTATTCATCATCGATTTTTTCTTGCCTTATCATGATAATCTGTCAAGGTTTATGGAATTTGGGTTGGCCGTAGCTAGCATTATGTTCCTGGTAACAAAGTGGTGAGTTACTGCTATAAACGTATAAGTGTATATAATGAAGCAATAAGGTAGCGTAGGTCGTCTGATTTATGGGCATTCATTTGCGCCAGATTAGTAAGACACAGAATATAACGTACGAGTGAAAAAGGAGCGCGAGGGGTGTACCCAATGTGGACCAACTTTTTTCCTTTTTCAGAGAGGGGCAGCTAGGGAAACCAAACCTATTGCTATTACTATCTGTCCTTTCCCCACATCAGAAACTCCTCAAACCCAAAAGCTGCACAATCCTGTTTGAGGCGCGTGGCACAAAATACAACATTACCTTTGAAAGACCAATGACACAAAGCAAAGCATTGGCAATTGCCATAGATAGGCATAGAAAATTCCATACATTTGGTCTCACAAAACTCTCGCCAGATACCCCCCACTCTCCCCTCTCTTTTTTTTAATTCGGTTTTGGGTCTAGACCCCAGCTTTAAGATCAGTTTTGCACTTCTGAACCAGGCTTGTTTCTTGTTTGTACTTCAATGTTGTCATCGACAGGCGGGGAGGAGAACAATTACAACAAAGCAACGATAAGCCTAAAGAGAGTGTCCTCAACGTCCTCAAAATCATCATCAACATCTTCATCTCCTTCACTATTCTCTCCTCCTTCCCATCTTCACAACCAAACCCATAGACCCAAAACTATGGAGGAGGTTTGGAAAGACATTAATCTTGCTTCTCTAAATGATCACCCTTCCAGGGAAGGCCTGTCTGTAAACCCAAGACTCACAACTCCTCCAAACCCGAATTTCATCCTCCAGGATTTTCTTGCCAGGCCGTTTTGCAAAGACCCACCAACGAACAGGGTCTGCACAAACGGGGAGGCCGGGCCCTGTGGTTCCCCAGTGCGGCCTCCTGCCACTGTTTTGAGTCTGAATTCGGGTCCCGGCTTTGATTTTTTTGATAACTCGGATCCTCTCAGGTCTACGTCGCGTCTGCAAAGCAGCCCCATCTCGAATTTGTCCACTTTCCATTGTCCATTCGAGGCTCTAGCTTCATCTTCTAGCTTGGCTTCTTTTGGTAAGAAAAGGGTCAAGGAATCTGATAGCGGTTCTGGTGATCGACGGCACAAGCGTATGATCAAGAACCGAGAGTCAGCAGCTCGATCAAGAGCTAGAAAACAGGTTAATTAGTGCCTTTCTTGTCCTGGCTACTGTCTTTACTCTTATACATATGCATTTCACAAAATGTCTTGTTTCGTGATACTCCTTTCATTGCAGGCTTACACAAATGAGTTGGAGCTCGAAGTTGCACATCTTATGGAAGAGAATGCAAGGCTCAAGAGACAGCAAGAACAGGTAACTCAAAAGCCAAGTTGATTTTTATTACTAGCAGACAAACCATGAAAGAAACACCCCCCAGAAACAACCAAAGGGCCCACTGATCAGTGTTTCCTCATTAATACATGAAACGCTTGTGTGCTTGGCTTCACCAAAATCTGATAACCCCAACATGCATGGAACTTGGGGGCAGATTGTTCTTGTGAATAATTATAGTGCTAGTAAAAGAAGGAAAAGGGCAATTAATATTGACATTGTGCTTCTATTTTGTTTCTGGGGCATGCAGTTACGCGTAGCAGCAGCTGCTCAACTTTCCAAAAAGCGCACGCTTCAGCGGACGTCAACAGCTCCATTTTGAGGAATATCTCTGCCTGCCTTCTAACAAATTAATCTCTCCTTCTTTCCTCTTTCTCTCTCTCTCTCTCTCTCTCTCTCTCTCTAAGAGCAGGGTTTCTTTAAGCTAGAAAAGGAATGAATTTGTATAGGTTTTGTGGAGCTATTTTCTTTATTTTTTTCACTTCTGGGGTGAGCAAGGTTTGTACCTCAGGCAAGACAGTTGATTTTGGGGAAGAAAAACATGAGCTGTGGGGAAGAGGGGGGGAAGGGAAAAGGAAGGGCATGTTTACATTTCCTGATATGCAGGAACTTTGTTGTGGTGGGTCTTTGTTTGCTTCCTCTGTTGGCTTGTACCATTCCTTGGACTACTGACTTTTTTGTTTCCTGTCCTTCAAACCCCATTCTTTGCTTTCTTTCTGTTTCTTCCCGTCTCATGCAAAAAATTGGTGCTCTGGTTGCAGCTGTGTGGAGAGATCTAACTAAATTTTAATGGCAAACAAAAATTGAACAGTAAAAAGAAGAAAGCACACAAAAAGGGATATGACATGTCGGCCATGGAATTTGTGACTACACCTCCTATCCTGTTCCTTATGGGGGACCTCCATCATCCCTCGTTTTATCCCTGTGCTATCGGTAATCGATGCCCCCCATCTTGTCTGACATCGATTGGCGTTTTGGCCCTTTCATACTTTTGCTTCATGTTTCTTCCTGATTTTTATTTATACTTCCCTTCAACAGAGGATCAGTAATGTTAAAAGATCATAATAATCTCGTAATAACAGGATTTGGTAGCCGACTCTGTTTCTGCACGTTCCCTCCTTTGCTTTATCCATATACATGCAGAACCATCAGCCAAAACTTCACTTGATTCATGCTTTCTGCTGCAAGAAAACAAGAGGAGAAAAGGGTTATTTGTAGGCTCTGTTGTTGAATCACAGTTAGCCATAGAAAAGGGGGCCAGAACCCTTGGAGGCCAGCATGCTAAAGGTAGTACATTTTCACTTTAGTTAGGTGGCCTAGTGTGATGTGAAGATGTGTTGTGTTGTCTCCCCAGTGTATAAATGTGGGGAATTTTATTGTTGGGCATATATACGTACTTTTTCCATACATTTAATCTACGTTTGCATTAGTCATTAGCAAGTGATATTGTGTACATGATCAGATAGGTAGAATCAATAAGATTTGATAGCTTGCAATAAGGATTTGGACCCTCAGGTTTTACTCCCTTCCCTTAGACTTTGATTTAATATAAAATAATAATAATAATAATAATAATAAATTCGACCAAGCACAGCCAGCTGCAGTAATATCTAAACCTAACTGTTCAGCATGCATTTCTCACATATAGGGTTTGCTTTTTAAATTCTTAGGTTGGGGAAATTTTAAATCGGTTTTGCCTTAGCTGGTAATGTAAGGTTTTCTAGGACAAATATTTAAATAAAGTTAATAAATACAGATTCTGGCAAACAGTTGGAAGTTTTAGACTTATTTTTCATATTTTTAATCAAATAATATATATATATTTATAATGAAAAACGAATAATCATACAAAACTTGATCGTGTATTGATCATATTATCAAAATATCAATGCCAAACCTGCCACGCAAGCACCCCCTAATTGATACAAAGGTATTGAATTATATAACATACACAATATCAAGTTCGACTTAAATATATATTTTAATATTTGATTTATTAGTTGATATTTTTTTAATTAAAAAAAAAACTTAAATCTTTCCAAAAATTAACAGGTCCGAACAGCATCAATTTCACCATTTTCGGCTTACATTTTTATCTTTTGTTTTGCAATTTTATTTTATTTTTTTGATGAAAAGATCCCTTGGTGTAACAACACCAACTTTGGATTGGAATAGTATTAATTTTTGGAGGTACGTGCTGGAGTTATTCTCTGTTTCCCCATCTATTTCCTCTTTATTTATATTAATATATATTTGCTTATCATGATATCATATGTGGTTGTGGTAGCAGACCAAACTTATCTCATTGCATATGTGCCCTCTGCTGTTGCATCAGCAGTGGGACCATGTTGTTTATATATATATTTATATATATTCCGGCAATAATTTTGTACCCTAAGCTTTAAACAACTTCATGCTTTATCCATTTAAATTTATCAAAAGATTTTGTCTATTTTTTTTCTAAAAAAAAAAGAATGTCAAACTCGAATGACAGGTACTCAATCTAATTATATAGAATTAGAATACACTATAATCGAGTTGAGATTGTAATTTTATTAATTGTATCAGATTTAGATAGGATTTGAGTACTACTTACTTGATATCCAAATCTGATTATGTTTTTTTCTTTTAATTTTATGTAATTAAAGATAAATTTATATTATTAATTAAATTAATTTAT